AGCACCAGCCTCCCACAACTACCCCCATGCACCCCCGTTGCACCCATCCTCCCAACACAGTCCCTGCGCTCTCATGGCCCTCACGGAACAGCCCTCCCCCACCACCCTGCCCCCCACTCACCACCGGGGTGCGCTCCTCCTCCTCCTCGTCCTTGTCAGCTGGGTCCAGAACCACCACTTCCCTGGCCAGCCCCCGGCCCTCCATCCGCAGGGGCACCCCGGCCGGCACCTGCAAGGGAGAGGGGTGAGCGCTGGGGGTGCCCCGAAGCCTGCCTGGGGCAGCTCTGGGCTGGGAGGCAGGACTCCTGGGTTCTCTCCCTGGCCCTGGGAGGGGAGTGGGGTCTAGAGGTTAGAGCGGGGGCAGGGGGGGCTAGGAGCCCGGACCCCTGGGTTCTCTCCCCAACGCTGGGAGGGCAGAGGGCTCTCAGGAGCTGGGGGGGTTCTTACCGGTGCAAGGTCCCATCCAGGCTCCACCTTCTCCTGCTTCACCAGGGGCGGGGCGGCACGGAGCAGGGTGGGGGCCGGCTCCTGCAGGGGGGAGAGAGACCGGGGACAGGACTGAACCCGCAGAGCCAAGACAGCCAGTAGGGGGCGCTGCGGGGATGCAGGCGCAGGGGCCGGTCCTCACCCCAGCACGGGGCACGGAGCCAGGACTCCTGGGTCACCCCAAGGGGGAGGACTGGTCCCAAGCCGGGCACCACTGGAGGGGGACACCCAGGGGGAATGGGGGACGCCCCGGCTGCCCCTCTCACCTCCAGGTGGGCAGGGGACGGGGGTGTGGCTGGCTCCTCCTTCACGTGCTGCAGCAGGAGGGGGAAGCTCTGGGGGGCGTCGCGGAGCAGGACGAAGTCCCTGCCCGGCCGATCCTTCAGCAGCACCAGCTGCCCGGGCGCCTCGGCGACCCCCTTCTCCGCCAGGAACCGCAGCTCCCCACCCGGCGGGCACTCCTTCTCCTGTGGGGCAGAGCACAGCGTCAGGGGGCAGCACAGAGCCCCCCCAGACAGCCACCACCGAGCAGGGAGAACCCAGGAGTCCTGGCTCCCAGCCTCCTCCCGCTCTCACCACTTGAGCCCACTCCCCTCCCAGAGCCAGGGAGAGAACCCAGGAGTCCTGGCTCCCAGCCCCCCTGCTCTAACCACCAGAGCCTAGGAGAGAAACCAGGAGTCCTGGTTCCCAGCCCCCCTGCTCTAACCACCAGCCCCCCACTCCCCCTCCCAGACGCCCA